TATTCTTTGATTATTAAATTATATGTATATTTATTTTAAAATAAAATCTTAGTGCATTGTATGAACTTTTAAATTAGTTAATATAAATCTATAATTTGGTATCCATTTAATAAAAAAAACTAATAAAAGCGTTTATATTTTGAAAATAGAAGGAAAAGAAGGTGTGTTTGTTAGACACGTGTAAACTACTTTGAAAATAAGTTTGCATTCTATGATCAGATTATTTCTTCCTTCTCAGTGTAGTGATTGAATTGCTGATAACGATAGAACAAAGCTTTGGTGCAAATGAGTGATATATATATAAACATAATTTTTTTACACAAATGTAAGTAATTTATATGAATTTTTCATTTAACTTAAATCTAATGAATTATAATTTATTATTTTATTGGCTTATATAAATAGTTTTAACTTTTAACTTTTAATTTTAAAGCAAGGCGTTTGAGTAAACTTATAAATAAGTACTTGTAATAAATAAAAAAATAAAAATAGTTTTCATAATAAAAAAATAATTTCTTTTTTAAAATACATTCCCTCAACTTCTTGATCTCTTACAAAGTCTTCAAATTCGTGACAGAGCAATTTTAGTGGTCTAAGCATGTTCTTCTTGTAATATTTGACTTCCTAAAACATAACACGTGAAGTGAAGAAAATGTTTCTTTCCTCTCGTCCGTTATAGTATTATGAAAATGTTTTTATATTTAAAGTGTAAGATAATATTTATCTGATTTTATTTTAAAAATTATTTTGCAGCTAATATAAATAAAAATGATAAAAAAACAATTATATACAGTATTATTTTTACAAAACTTATATAAGCCGTTTATGTTTTTGCTACTATCAACCAATTACGCAATTACACGTTAGAGTTATTATGTGATTGTTGCAGCACGCTGCTGGAGTCTTATTTCAACAACTTTTAATGGCCACTATATATCGTTGTTAGCCAATTGCCCAATTGTCGGAAGCATGAAATAAAGCTAACATGCCCCGTTATACTACACAGTTTCCTTACTTTAATAAACAAAAATTTATATTTTATATAATTTTTTCATTTTTCTACCTACAAATTATCTAAACATGTATTCAAATTAAATAAATAACATTCTGTCCCAGAGTTTGTGTTAAAAATCCTTATAAATAAACCAATATTTATATATATGGTAAAAAATTTATAATTTAATTAACTTGTTCAAGAAACTTAGCTATTTGCTAACTGTAGCACAATATTAAGTTACTGTTATATGATCATATCATGGAAAATATTAGCCAGGAGAGGAGACTACAATTGTGATGATGATGAAATGTTGTTAAGTATGGTTCGTTGCAGGGCTTTGTCAACAGTGCTGCCTATTTTATTTCTAATTGTAAATTTTAGTGTAGTTTTTTTTCCCTTTAAACCACATCTATCTTCTGTGAAGATAATGTTGTTCCAGTTAGATTATAAATGATTTTATCATTTTAATATGCAAAAATTGATATTGTACATTTTTTTTCTTTGTTTACATACACATCTTAAAAACATATTAAAAAATTAAAAAAATAACATTTTGTTGTGACTAATCTGTGGTCAAATAACTTTCCTTATGAATTCAAGCCACCTGTGCTTTCCATATAATGCGTACAACATTAATTATATTTTAATTTTTTTTAACTTAGGATATCCTTTTAATAATATTTAGAAACTTGATTCCTTAAAGACAAAAATTATTGAAACAAATATAGCTTCTGCCAACAATTTTGTTTAGATATATACAGTCAAAATTTGAATTTTAATTAACATGTTTGAGAAACATAGTTATTTGCTAGCTGTAGAACGATACTAAGTAGTTGTTATATCATCATATCATGGAAAATATTAGCTGGTATAGGGGACTACACTTGTGATGGTCAAATGATTTTAGGCATGGTTCCTTGCACGTCTTTCCCAACTGTAGTCTATTTTATTTCTTATTGTAAAATTTAATGTCGTTCATTATTTTTTTAATTTTTCTAACAGTTTTTCAGGTATTGGTTTTGTTTGAAGTTTTAAATGTTTAAGTTTTTTTTTTTTAATAAAAAGTGATTATGAGATGTAAATTTTTCAAAATTTAGCAACCCTTTTAACTGACAATCTTGTTTACATTAACTCAGCTGATTTTGAACAGGTAAAAATAAATAATTTTTTATTAAAGAAAAACTTATTATATTTTTATATAATAATTATTTTTAAATAGTTAATTTCAAAGTTAACATTTTTTCTTTAAAACACTCCTTTTCTTTCTTTTGACATACTTTTTATTGAAAAAGTGAAATAAATGACGTGAATGAGAAAGGAAGAGAAAGATGATGAGTGAACACAAATCAATCACCTTTTTTTCTTCTTTTTTATTTTTTTGTGAAAACAAACCAATGAGCTTGTTCTTTTTTTAATTCAAATCAATATTATCAATCGAAGGTGGGCCTTGACCTACTTATATGAACCACTCTTGGATCCACTTCCCTTGAATTAGTTGAATTAGTTGAACTTATGTTGTAGAAGTGGGTACATTGAACAGCCTAATCCAGTCCACTTGTATGTTAGACAAAAATAAAAAGTCCACTTGTATGAACCTCTCCGAACGCTTTTAAGTATTTTGGAAGGCACTTTCAAGAATAATATCAGTTTGACAGACTTACAAAATACAAAATACCAAAGGTGGGGTGGGGGGTGTGGAGAGGGGAGGAATCCAACCCCACCCTTGCAATCTTGCTTATAATACCAGAAAAGTTGGAAAGGTAAAATTTAATCCAGAAGAACTGGAGCAAATTAATTGAAGTAGAATGACAGAAGCTAGTCTGAATCTATAACTGATGTAACTTACTTGATATCCTTTTAGCAGGCCAAAAAGCTTGTACAATTTTCACTCAATAGCAGTTGACCTTCATCCCTCAAAGTCATCTTCTTAAGCTTTCTGTTTTCTACTTGCAATGTCTCCAGACAATACTTGCAAGCCTCAAACAAACATAGCAGAAGCATAGACATCTGACCTCAACATATTCCCACATTTTCAGAATAAGCAATCATTCTCACAACTACATGATGAAAATGTTAGAAATTTTATATTTATAATATTTATATAAATTATTTATATTTTTATGGACTTAATATAAGCGATTTAATTTTAATAAGTCCTCTAAATTATTAATAAAAAATAATATGAACTTAATAAGTAAAAATTGAGTTTAGACTCGTTAAAAGAATAACGAGAAAATGGTTTAAAAAAAATATATCACATTTCCCAAAATATCAAATCATAAGAAATCTAGTCTCACCTCATTATTGTTTTAAAGGTTCTCGTTCCACTACATTTATTTCATCAAGCTCTATGAATTTAGACCTTCTTCTTTTCTTAGTAATACACGTAATGTATATATTTATTTATATAAAATTCTACATAGATTAAAAGAAATTCTTAGAGAAAATTAATAGGTGGTTGGCCATATGAAAATAATAAGGCTGCCATATTTGCTTTGACAACAATGTAGCTCTATAAAGATAGAGCTACATTTCAATACATCTATCTTATTTATTTATTAACCAAGTTAAAAAGCAAGCAAATATGCAGGCCAAAACTAAACTCTAATAAATATTTACAAGAACTATCCAATAATAATCAAGAGATCTATAAAAAGAAATGAAGCATCAAGCAAAGGTCCACAATTTTCTGCTGCTTGAGTTGAGAGAATGAAGGAAAAAAAAACATTGAAATGATCACGTAGAAAATTGAAACAGCAAATTCCAACAATGTTTGCTTCAATTATATATTGTGAGAATACCGACTGAAAATAATTTCTTTTCTAATAAAAATGACAATTCAATTCAATGTGTCTGGTCCTTTCATAGAAGACTAGGTTTGAGGTAATACGAAGAGCAACCTAATTATCACAAAACAACTTCATTTGCTAGTCTTTTGTAAACACTAGTTCTTGAATTAGTACAGGTTCAAATATGTGACCAAAGCAATAGCACAATATTTAACCTCAGCACTGGATCTAGCTACTACTTCCTGCTCTTCACTTTTCCATGAGACAAGATTGCATCCAACAACAACACAGTATCTTATGGTAGAATGTCTATCAATACAACGTCGTGTCGTTATATCCGGTAAGCGTTATTTACATTCACTTGACCCTCTTTCCACAAAACCCCTAATCTATCATCTTCCATCTATCTCATTTGCCCTAACCTCCATCAAGTTAAAATAGATCCAAATAGTGTAAACGCCGTATGAAGGAAACCCCAATGGAAGTTTATTTTCACAGAAGTGCACATTTCAAGGGAGGTACGGGTAGATTGTTTTTGTAGATTGAGAACAGTGGTGAGAACATAAAAAAAACAATGGCAAGTTCCATTAGATCATTCTGAGTGTTTTAACTAAAGGGAAATTCTTGTAATCTAATTTGTGTTGGTAAAAAAACCTAACTCAAATATTTTTCCAAAATTAATGTGATTTTCCTCCATTGTAGAGTGGTAACGGTGTAGATTTTTTGTTTGTAGATTCAAAGATAAAAGAAATATTAGCAATACACTTTTTAATACGCTCCTAATTTAATATTTCTCTCTCGTACTTTTATAATTTTTAATAAATTAGTCAATGATTAGAAGTGTGTTAAAAAGAGTTTCTTAGACATTGTGATGTTAGCATTTTTCCAAAAATAACGGTGTTAGTACTGAAGTCATGGAAGACTTAATGGTTACAGTTAACAAAATAAAGGTTGAAAATTAAATAATAGTTGGAAGATTAAAATTTAGAAGTTAAAATTAGTACACTCGAATATTTTTATAATTGTGCAATATATTCAATTTTTGTTGTCATAACAAAGTGGGTATTGGTACATTTATGAAAGTAACAGAAGTGGTTTATGTAAGGGTTAATGTATTTGGTATTTGGAATTTAGAACAAATAGCTAGTTGTAAACTTTTTATGAAAGGAAACTAAAATGAATTGAAATATTCTGGCTCAGCTGTTTTCTTCTGCGTTAAATTATATATTTGAAAGAACTGAAAAAAACAATCATAGTATACAAGTGCAAGAATAAGAAAAATAAAACATGTTCATTCCATAATAAGGATAGCCTTCATAACTAACTAACAAAAATTGTTTTCCTTCTAACTAAATGAACATTGTAACTATTGACAACCACCCCAAATATAAGTACACGATACTAAATCTTTACAATAATCGCAAAAAGACTAGGTACAAAGTTCTAATTTTATTTAGTCCAAAAAATCAATTGTCTTCCATAACAAAAATCCCCAAGGTCATCTTCACTGCATATTGTCACCTTGATCATATTGAACTCTAGTTATTAGCATAAAGTTCATGGTTGGACTTGATCTTTGTTCAAGAATAGGCGCAACATTTGGAACAGGAGGAGGTTGGCTTTGATGTACTAGGGACATGAGAATGGTTGGCAAGTGCAATGATAGGGGTTGGGTTAGGTTCTACTGCATTGGTGGAACTTGTTACTCTTGGTTTGATAGGCAGTTCACACCTTTACCCAAGAGTCTTCTTTGTAGTTACAATTTCTCATGCTTGACTTGAGAAGACTCTAGTGGCAGCTGAGAAATTTCTTCCTATGTGCTTGGAACAAACACCTTAGGATAGGTTAACTTCATCTAGCAATGTAAGGATTGTCAGTACTAGATTTAGCAGTCCGTTGTTTCTCTCCTGTTTTTTTTCTCAACATAGGGTAGCTAAGCCTATTGTGGTTAAACCCACACCACCTTGTACATACAAATTCAGCCGAGCCTGTTCTCCTTACATTTTCCTTTCCCTTCTCCTGCCACTTCCCTTTTATGTTGACCTTGTATTTTAATCTTGTTCTCTCTCTCTTTTTTTCTTACTTTTTTTCTTTGCTTTCCCTTTCTTAATCCCCTTCCTCTTGTATCAACACCATTATTATTTTTCAATCTTCTCTTAGCAGCCATTGTGTTCATTGCTACACTTGTATTCTTTGCACTCTTTAATTTCTTCTTACACATAGGTTGCTTATTGTACTCCTCTTTTTTTCCCTTTTTCTTCCTTCAATCAATCACATCATGTATCATATTTCCTTCTTCATCATCCACTTTCTATATTTGCTTTAACCCTTGCAGCAATTACTTTAGCATATGTTGCCTCTTTTAGTTTACGGATAGAATGTTCATTACACACATGAATTTAGCCATTTTTCTCTGTAGAAGCATTCACCATTTCCATAAGATCTTTGTTTACTATCAAGTCCTTCAACCTTTTCTTCAAGACAGACTCAGGGTCTAGCCAATAAACATTTGTCATAGACTAACATTCAAGCTCTTTACAGTAAGATATGCTAAAAACATCCAACATATCATCATTGCACTCGAGTCAAATATCTACAAGATCCCTTTCATAGGTAACTTTACTAACATTACCTTTAACGAAGTTGCCTCCGTGATGTATGTGAATGGTTACCATCTGCAACAGGAGTCAATTTCAAACTTTCAATGACTAATCACATCACATACAATATAGATACAACAAAAATATACAAGTTGCACATGCAATACACATACAGCACCATACACACACACACACACACAAAAAGCATAGTGGACCCACGAGTTTAGGAAAAGGGACAAAAACTACAATTACTCAGTAACGATGTAAAAGGATGCCAAAATAGATATAATACAATGAAGACACAACACATTTGTGTTGTAATCTAACATCAAGACCACACACCACATTTGCATTGCAATCCAACAGTGGGACCACACATACATTTTAGGGAAAAAAAATTACTTTAGGGTTTAATACATTTGTCTAGAAAAGGCCAAAATCTTCTTTTCCTTGTCAACTTCAATTGTTGCAATCGGTGAAAACTCTACAACAAAATCGAGGGTCAACCTAATGTCATTTATGGATACTACTTGTTTACCAAGTTTATAATTTTAGTTCTAGTTTAATTTCTCTCTCTACAAAAGGGCGTCATTCTTTGTTTCCAACATAGCAGTAATTTGCCAGATAATGTGCCAACATAGATTGAATGTGCCAAGTAAGCAGTTTAGTTAGTAGGTATTAACAATAGTTCACTGCAAAAACAAGACATTATAAAGTTAAAAACTAAAGTGGTAATTTAGTCAACATTAATTACATTATAACACAAATTTGCAGTCAACACGTCATGGGTCCACACTAATCAATGACATGATCAAGTTCACTCCACGCAGGTTTTAATCTTGGAGTGAGTAGGACAAAAGTACAAGCAACTAAAGCTATGTTTAAATGTAATGTTTAAGAGGAGAGAAGAGAGGTTAGTGGAGTTTAACCTTGTTTGAAAATTACTTAATTAGGAGGATAAGGGTTAAGAGGTTTTTCTAAACCCTTAAAAAACATCCGAACATTAATTTTTTGAATTCTTCCATTTTAGGAATTTTTCTCTCTCCTACTCTTTTACGATTAGGATTTTTTTTTTTAATCAAAATATGTTAGGTTTTAGAGTGAAATTTTTTTAAAAAAAATTATAAAAAATAAAATTATTAATTTTAAAATTACAAATATTTAGAAAGAGAAAAATATTTAATATATTTTGTTTTTTGAAAAAGATAAAAATATTAATAAAATATATAAAAGACAGTAATATCATTTATAGAATTAAACCTCTATCATCCTTCTCTTTCAATATTAAACATCTAAACAAGTGAGGGAAAGAAAAGTTAAGCCTCTCTCATTTAGATGTTTAATATTAAGAAGAAAGGATATGAAGTTTAATCATGTATATGATATTATTATCTTTTATTTGTATTTTTTATCTTTTTTAATTTTTTCAAAAAATACAAAAATTAAGTATTTTTTCTCTCTAAAAATTAATATTTTTGTTTTTTATAATTTAAAAAAAAATCTCACCTTAAAAACTAACATCTTCAAAGGGAACAAAATTAAAATTTTAATCGTGAAAAAACACAAGAGAGTAGGAAGGAGAAAAATTCCCATAGTGGGAAACTCTGAAAACCAACAGAAAAAAGTTTTGGAAAGTTTAGAAAAACTCTCTAACCCTTTCTCTCCCAATTAATTAACTTCCAAACAATAGTTAAACTCCATTAATCCCTTCTTTCTCCTTCATTCCCCTCCTAAACATGAAATTTAAACAGTCTTAAGTGTCCATTTGGTGTACAGAATTGAGTATGAAATTGAACATTAGAATTAGAATTGAGCTTCAAAATTTTAATTATCATATTTGTATGTCCATCTAGAATTAGAATTATAATTCCATAGACCAATTCTATGGAATTACATGACAACTAAATTTGACCCACTTTAATTAGTAACCTACACCCTAAGAATTTAAATTCCTAATATCATATTTCACAAATACACATTGTATTGTTTTTTTACACGTTCTACACTTAGTCAAACTATATTATTTATGTTAATTATATAATAAATTGTTTGATATTTTTTTTGAATTTTTAGATGTCAAAAGAAACATTCAATTATTATTCAATTATATCATTTTTAATAATTATTTTTGTATTTTTAATTAACACATTATATTTTAAAAAAGTTATTAAATAAATTTTTAATGCAAAATTGAATTATTTTCAAAAATTTAGATCTTACATCTACACTATAGAATTTTATGTCAACTTAGAATTCCAATTCTAAGTTTTAATTATTTGAGTACATCAAAGGTAAAATTATAATTCTGAACCAATTTCAATTCTAAACTCCAATTCTAATTCCATGCACCAAATGAGCACCAAGGGTTTTTTCAATCATCAAAGATACCCTTCACTTCAACCCTAGTGAAATTGGTCAAATCAAGTTGGAATAGCACAGCCTGCCCGTCTGTTAATGGCTATAAGGAATGACCCTATGCCCAAATCAAATACCAATATACAATAAAGTGGAAAAAAATATAAGTGACACTGCATGGAGACTACATCCCCAAGGATCGAGAATGGGTATGTCAAAGGGGCAGGGTAGGCATGGGAAATAGGCACTTGCTATGAGGAAGTAAAAATCTGCCCAATGTTCATGGGGGTACTTGTTAATTGCAATTTAAACAGATTTACAATCCACCGGTATCCATGAAAATAAATTTGCAGATTTATTTTTAGACCTAGAAGAATTTTGAATAAATTATTAAAAAGAATCTTATGATAAATAATATCTCAAAGAATTTGATTTTTCACCAAGCTCAATAGCTACGTATGATCCATGTAATTGACATCATCTAATGGAATAAAGCTTTGTTGTTGTTGTATTTATTAGAAAAAAAGTACAAAAATATTTTAATATTAAATTATAATTGAATGAGCAAAAAAATTAGAGCACTTAAATTATAAAAATAATAATAATTTGTTATAACAATAGCACATTAACAAGTTCAAGTACATATCAAAAGCAGTGTTGTTAAATGGCAGCTATGGCGGAATTCGATGGCAGTTTTTGACCCCGCTGTTACAGCGTTACTATTTTCTGACATTTTTCAATGGCGGCACCATAGTCGGCCATGGCAGAAAATATAGGAAAAGTGGTGTTTTGTGGGAAAAATTGAGTTGGGCCATTGACTGGACCTGCTCCAAAAAGAAAATCTGTGAGCCCAAACCCTAAATCACATATTTTCTTCCTTTCTTCATCGCTATTGTGCCGCTTTGGAGCGGCAGTCCGCCACGTGATGCTTGCTGTGAAGTATTTTTTCACAGAGGTTAAGCCCTAATTGTAGTGTCTTGGTGTGGGTGTGCACTTTTGAATTGTAATGGAGAAAGAGAGCAAAATTCCAATCTTGCCCTTGCTTTATGTATTTTAGGGTTTTTAAGGGCAAAATAGACTTTTTCCACTTAAAATTTTTACCTTCTCTTCTCAAGCGGTAAATTTTCTGAAGGGTAAAATATTTAGGGTTCTCTCTGCATGCTTTTCTTCCTTCTCTAAAGCCAACTTCTTCATCTCCTTCACCATTTTCGCCAGAAAAGACATCCTTTTTGGCTGTTTTCCGACATCCATTTTCTATTTTGTTTCTTTGGACTCTGTCCCTCTTTCTTAGTTTTTCCCTCTCCTATTTTTTTTCCCTTCAGTTCTGTTTTTCCCTCTCCTATTCTGTTTTACTCTCCCATTTTTTTCGTTTTTCCTTATTATTTTGTTTTCTTGATTCTATTTTTCTCTTTTCACTTCCAAGTTTCCTTCTCCATATTTATTTTAACTCTCTACTTTTCTGTTATAACTTCAGCTTTTTATTCCCTCTTTCTTAGTTTTTCCCTCTCCTATTTTTTTTCCCTTCAGTTCTGTTTTTCCCTCTCCCATTCTGTTTTACTCTCCCATTTTTTTCGTTTTTCCTTATTATTTTGTTTTCTTGATTCTATTTTTCTGTTGTCACTTCCAAGTTTCCTTCTCCATATTTATTTTAATTCTCTACTTTTCTGTTATAACTTCAGTTTTTTTTCACTATTGTACAACTATTTTATTCTTTTTTTCTCAAAACCTTCCTTCTTTTATATGTAGTTAGTTTTTTAGTTTTATATCACATTTTGCAATATATATATATATATATATATATATATATATGACTGCCATTATTCCGCCATATCCCGCCATGGCATCCGCCATAATTTTATGGCAGTTTTTTTGCTTTCTGCTATGATCCGCCATCTGCCATTGATAACATTGGGTCTGACCAATATTCAGTGCATTCCATGCTCATACCATTTTAGGATGTGCTCCCATTTAATAATCCCTCAAAATACACATGGTGCCTATTATTGTTGCATTCTCATTTACTAAAGGAAACATACCTTTTGAATCTTATTTTTAAACTTTAATTGTCAATTTTATATATCTTTTAATCAATTAAATTTTATTTTAAAACTAGAAATTAATTTATTAAAATTATACTTTTATTAGTTTATAATTTAAAATTTTAGAGAAGTAATCAACTATTTTATGCATATATCACATACACCCATGCCCTTTGGGAACACTTGTTGGTTCTACACAATTATGTGCCCTCCCACATCAAAATGGTATGTTGAAAGTAAACACAAGCAAATAGCTGAAATGGGTCTCACCTTTCTCTCTCATGCTTCCATTCCCTTGCAGTTGTAGGATTATTCTTTTAACACAAGCATCTACATCATAACAAACTCCCTACCATTAGTCTCAAAGGACAGATTCCATGTACAAAGCTTTTCAAAAGTTCTTGACTATTACTTCCCAAAGGTGTTTAAATGTCTGTTTTTCATAATTCTTATTCCTTATAATCATCACAAACTACAATTTCAATCTCAAGCATTGTTACCAAATTCACTCACAACCCCCATGAACTATGAACTGGGGCATGCACACTGATTTGCAGAACTTCTTTTGTACCAATTTGTGCCATTTGCGATCCAAGATGTAGCAATTGACATTTGGGAAGCAAAAATAGTGAAGTACCATGTTACCTCAAGGGTCTCCATATTTCAACTCATTGTTGACCCAAGAAATGCTTTCAACATGGTGTTGTGACTCTAGCAGCGAGAAAGGGGTGCAAGACTACAAGTTGCAGTCATGGAATGGTGTGTTCTGTCTTTCCTCCACCAACATAGAAACCACCATGGAGAACTTCCACAAACCACCACCAACCATTGGGTTTTTCATATTATGTCTCCTAGCCTCTGTGACTATTCTCACACTAGTTTGATGGCCTCACCCGAATATCTTAGGTCTACTCCACAAGCTGATACCTCTTGGTTTGCAGCCATGAAAGAGGAATATGATGCTTAAGAAACAATAGCTGGAATTTGGTATCTCTTCCTCCTAATAGGGAATCTATTGGTTGTAAGAGGGTATTTAAAATAAAGGAAAACACAAATGGTACTATTAACAAGATTAAAGCAAGGTTGGTGGCCAAAGGATTCCAGTAACAATATGGGTTTGAGTATTATGAAACCTTCTCTCCTATTACCAAGCCAATCACAGTTCAAATTATTCCCACTCTTGCCTTAACACACTCTTGGAATAATTATTTCCTTAATGGTCTACTTCATGAAGAAGTTTACATGGACCAATCCTGGGCTGCTGATCTCTCTTTAATTTGTGAACAAAATAAAGCCATTTATGACCTTAAACAAGCCCCTAGGCAATGGTTTAAGAGATTAACTGCTGCTCTTCTCAACTTTGGCTTTGTACAAAGAAAATGTGATCCTTCACTTCTTGTGTACACTGTACAGTAAGGGCACAGCCGTGGTATATCTACTAGTCTATGTGGAAGATATTATTATAACTGGAAATTCTAGCCACTTACTACATCAACTCAATACAAATCTCAATTCTGAGTTTCCTCTAAAACAACGAGGAGATCTTGATTATTTTCTTGGTCGAGATAAAGATGTCGTCCACTAACTCCCTATTTCTAACTCAAAAGCACATTTCAGATCGTCTCATTGAGACTAATATGTATGAGTGGCATTGCAAACCAATATCTTCCCCTATGGCACATGGCTGCAAGATGTCTAAAGAAGGAACTGATTACCTACAAGATGCGTCTCTATATAGATCTATTGTTGGGGCCCTTCAATGCATTACCATTACTTCCCTTGAGATTACCTTTGCAGTAAACAAAGTCTGGCATACATGTCTCAAACTCTTGAAGTTCACTGGTCTACTGTAAAACATATTTTGAGCAGTACCTCGAAGGTACTGTCAATGATGGTTTGAAGCTCATTGCTGACTATTCTCATAATTCTCACTCTCTCGTTGCCTATTGTGACACAAATGGGCGTCTAATCCTGAAGATTGATGTTCTTCTTCTGGCGCTTATGCGTACTTAGGTCTTAATCTAATCTCCTAACGGGCCACAAGAAGCAACAAGTAGTGGCTCACTCCAGAACTGAAGCGGAATCCACAGCAGTCTTGCCTTATCAACCACTGAACTCTTGGGTTCAGACTATATTCATAGAGCTGACAATTCCTATTACTACACCAACTGTTTACTATGATAATCAAAGCACAGTCATATTTTCCCATAATCCTGTCTTGCATGCAAGAACTAAGCATGAAGAACTTTATCTATTTTTTGCAAGGGTAAAGGTTATCAATCATCAGCTAATTGCTCACATCCCAGCAACAGAGCAATGGGCTGATGTCTTCACCAAACCTTTTCCTCCTACTAGCATTTTGGAACTCGACCAAGCTCAAGGTGTCTGCTACCTCTTTCACCACCCTTCCCTGAGCTTGCAGGGGAGTGTTAGCACTGTTGATTGGCTATTCTGTTAAGTTGGTTAACTGTATTTTTCCAGTTGCTATAGTTGGTTAGCATTGCCAACCTCACCTAATGGGATAAGGCTTGGTGGTTGTTTTATAGTTGGTTAGCTTTGATAGTGACAGCTGTATCAGAACCTCTCTATATAAGAGCGACACCTCATTGTAACTCATTGAGTGAAAATCAATAATACATTTCATAGTTTACTTTCTCTGTTCTCTCTCTTCTATATGATACAATGAAATCTTTACACAACAAATAGATGCAATCCTAAAGTAGTATATATTCTGGACTGTAAACCTGTAACTATTCTCATCTGCGAGTGAAAAAGATATGATTCAACCTCTAAGTCAACTCATTTGTGAAACTCTAGAATCCTATTGGTGTCCCCCATCTACCCTTTACGTAAGTTCCATGGTTAAATATTTAAAAATTTATTGCAATAAAAGAATAATAAGTTCTAAAACCCAACCTGAATAGAAACATCATGAGACCTGAACTGGTTGTACACTTTCACTTTAATCTGCTGATAATATCATCTGGAGTAAGGAAGAATGCCGCATCCATAAAAAAAGGCCTACATATCACTCAGCAAATGAATTAATGAATAAGTAACCAAAAATCTGAAATCATTAAAAAAAAATTTATGACCTAAAATATAGGATGCCTAACTTTATTTTCAAATTTTCATGCCAAAGCCACTATGTTGTTTAAACATTGTTGTCTCCCAAATTCAGAAAAACAAAACACAGAATTGTGTCTGGAAACAACAACTTAAAGCTTGTTTGTTTATCCAAGGAAACCAAGGTTACACACTTTTCTACGTATAAAACAATGTTGAGAACCAGGTTCTACCAAAGTGAAAAAAAATTGCTGTGAATTAAAATGGAGACAAAAGCAGGCACTTTGTTATTTGTAGCAGAAACAAGAAAAATCTCATCATTTAACAGAAGTAAAAATTTCATATTTTCCAAAAAGAAATTTCCAAACCACAAAAAAATGACGAAGGAATGCAAATTAGAAATGAGAAAAAGCAAACATTGAAGTTGATATTTCTAGTGTAGACTGGTTCTCTAAGGTCCCTCCCTCCTGCTGGATCAATTACAAAGCTGTTCTCTCTAACTGCAATTTATTTAGATCCAAACAATTTACACATTCAGAAGTGCAAAAAGATGATGCCCACATCTAAATTACATTTCCAACCCAAGATCTAGCTAAGTTTTCAGGTACATCATTTAGCAACAGTTTGAAAGGCTGAGATTGACATACACAACAATTTTAGTGTTGGATAAAATGTCAACACGCACCTGGGGAGTGTTCATTACTCATATGAGCTGCAACCTGAGAACCGCCAACATTTTAATGGAAGTCTGTATTTCAGAGACATAAAGAGTGACTTTAAAGCAAATGTGGCTCTTTTTCCAGCGCTTGCAATGCAACTTTGCAATGTCAAAAGCCATAGGCATAATGTGGGATTTAGCAAGGATAACTACCCCGCTTACTTGCCAACCAGTCTTGATAGAAGTTAAATGCTTTAACTGGTTCTCCCAATTTGCAGTACTTATTAAAAAGAATCTGAACTGGAACATGATCATTCAATAAACCAGATTTTAGTATTTTAGCATAGAGCTCTTCTGCTTCTTTCATGTTACCTCTAATGCAGAATCCCCTAACAAGTTCAGTATAAGTTATTAAATCTGGTTCATAACCCATCTGCACCATCTCATTGTACACTTGAAGAGCAAAATCAAGACGTCCTAAATTACAAGCAGCACCTATCAACAAATTATAAGTAACCACATCAGGGCAGAGACCTTTTGAAATCATCTCTTCCTTCAGAGAGCAAGCACCATAAAAATTTTCACATTTCACTTGTGCAAGAATTAAAGCATTATAAGTAAATACATTAGGGAGAACACCAAAAGCCAGCATCTGATCTCTTGTAAAAAATGCACTATTAAGATCTTTACATCTTCCATATAAGTCAATTATAAGGTTCCATATTATAGGTCCAGGCACCATTAAATTGTTCAACATACACCGTAGCAAGTTTTTTACTCTAACAATATCTCCATCAAAACAAAGGCCTCGAATCACAATCTGGTATGTAATTTGATCGGGCATAATTCCCATGTTAGACATAACTCCAAGTGTATAAAAAGCCTCAGTAGTTTTGCCTTCCTTGCAAAGAGCACCAATAAGAATATTATAAGTAAAAGCATCAGGAAGTAAACCCTTCTTAAACATCTCACAAACATATCCATGTGCAAGATTCATATGTTGACTCTTGCAAAATCCATTGATAAGAACATTATAAGCTACAGCATCTACTTTTCTACACTTTTGAAGCATCTGATTCCAAAGACCAAGAGCCTGAATAATTGCTCCACTCTTGAAGTAACTATCCATAAATATAGTAGATGTAACTAAATCAGGTATATCTTTCTCGTCATCATCATTTAATATTTCTTCAAGCATCTTTTTGGCTTGCTTCAGAAGACCTTTCTCACACAATGCATGTACCAGTATGTTACAAGTAATGCTGTTTGGCAGAACCCCATTATTGGCCATGGTGGAGAACAGATACAAAGCTTTATTCACATTATTAACCGCACAATACCCCTTAATTACAGTGTTGTAAGTGGCACAGTTGGGATGAGGACCAAATTCTAACATCTGTCTAACAAGCCAATCTGCCTTCTTCAAGAGAACCATTTTGCACAGCCCATTTACAATATGGTTGTGGGTAAACACATCAGGAAGAACACCTTTCCCTGCCATTTTTCTCCGAAGCCATAGAGCTGCTCCCAACTTACCTTCCAAGCACATACACCTAATAGCGGCGGTATGTTCAGTGTAGTTAAATTCACATGCATATCCCTGAAGACCTATCTTTACCAATGATATGTTTTCCCTGCAACATTTTACATGTAATAACCAATAATGTCACTCATACAATGCAAAAGAATCAGTTACATCTTCTTCAAACATATACATGTACACACATAAACCATACACATGCATACACATATATCCATGCCACTAATTATTCATAAATATTGTCAGACAAAAGTCCTCTACGACAAGCTTTTGTCTAGCAGTCATCATCCGTGATACAAAGTAGATCATCATTTAGGTTGCATTTGGTTGATGATAATGATTTCAGCACAATTTACAAAAATGCCTCCTTGAACTAAACTGGCCCTTAACTTCTGGGTTACAAAGGAAGCAACAACTACAAAACAATCACCAAAATTGCTAACACCTTAGATACTACTTTAGCAAGTCATCAAGTGTATCTACTAAATTAACCTTGAATGAGTTTTTGGTATAGCTTATCCAAATAAATAGTTTTCAACTTATTTCATTAAGTTTTCTGATCAAATTTATGGCATGAGGCCTCGTATTATATATATAAAACAACAATAGCCAACCATTATCTCACTAGGTTGAGGTCGATTACGATATATATTAATTAAAATTGCAGATATAAAAATAAATTTATTTTAAAATAATAATAATTACATAAAATGCCAAAAAAAAAAAAAAACCTACAAATTTCTGCAAATTACATTCTTCAAATTTGATGACATTATTCAACGCTAACCTCATCATCTTCAATCGTTCCAAACTATCCTTTAGTATAATATCCAACACATTAAAAACGGCGTGTCGGCCCTTTTCATCAGCACCGAAACTCTTGCCGTTACGCGGACAATCTCCTGCATTTAGTTCGCACTTCTCCCCACTAGCCAAATCCACTCGACAGCAAATCCTACAACAAAACATATCATGTAATAAACGACATCAACTTAAAACGCAAGAAACGCAATTTAGTGGAGTACATAGAATATAGAAATGGAATACCTGGCATGTGCGACAGTGTCGTGCTGGGCGTTGAGAATGTGAGCGACGTGCCGTTTGAAGGAAAGAAGGGTGCGATTGAAAAATCTGAGAAGAGCAATGTGTGGTGGCGACCAACGAGGTTCTCCGATGGCAACGAAGTAAACAGCACTCGCTGCCATAAATCTCTGTTTGTTTTAATCAGATAGAAGAGCTGAAGGCATTTGGTTGCGTTGGTATTATTTGGATCTGCGTTTTGGTGAGAGAACATAAACTCGCTCTTCAGTTCTAACCTATCCTTTTTGGCACTTCACCAATACCCAGTTTGAAGTTGTAATATAACTGTTGTGTTATGGGCTTCTCTTACACGTTTAAGAATTTTGGTGCCTCTTTTTTGTTCATTTTCATTCCCCTATTGTTGGATCAAAGTGTGTTCTTCTTCTCCCATAGTTGGTGTCTTCATCCATTTCAAAGTCTATTGGGCCCATCCGTTTAAGGCAAACATTTTAAAGTTTAAAATCATTATTATATACCTATTTTTAGCACGGGTATGATTTTATTTTTCTATTAAATTAGTTTGTTTAAAAAAATTTAAAAATAAAAATTTGTTTTAAATAATAATCATGATATAGTTTTTTATTATTTTGAAAATAAATCATTTAAATTAAAGGTTATAAATTTTATTAATTTTAAAAAAAATATATTTTATATTATTTGATGGTCAAATAAAATTATTAGTCATCATAAAGTTTAAAAACAAATTAAATATGTTTGTACATTATAAGTATATTGTAGGTCTTTTATTTTTATATGAGAAAAAATTTTAAAATATCAAAATATGGTAGTTTGAAAAAATTACAAAAATATAGAAAGTTTTCAAAGATCGCAGTGACATTTTTTTTCTACTTTAACAAAATTATTCTTTTTTTTTAAATCACCGCTTGCAATTTTTATTTTTTTAAGTTTTTATATTTAAAAAAAATGTCGTTAGTGAGTTTTAACTTTTTATAATTTTTTAATAGTGACAATCTTTCAAACTTAGTCATTTTTTGTTGCTTTATCTGACTTACATAAAAAATTCTCATTGAAGATTTTTAAGGCAAATTTATTATAATATTGTAAATTAAAAAACAATTTATTATTTTATAGTAAATCTAAAACAATTTTCCAATCTGGGGTGTTTTTGCCACGTGATCAAATTTTCGCTAAACGGCTGGCGAAAGTAATTAATTTTTGAAATTTTTTGTATCAAATATGATTTCTTAGAGCGATTAATTTAGAACCGCTCTCATAAGTCTATTTTAGATAGCGGTTTCTTTTGAACCGCTCTCATAACTCGTTTAGAGAGCGGTTCCATTTGAACCGCTCTTAGAAGTACATATTAGAGAGCGGTCCTGCGGGAACTGCTCTCTTAGGTATATACAGCCAATTGCATGTTAACACGTGTCTCTAGACTGTCAAAAGAATTTCGCCAACCGAATTGCAAAATGTATAAGAATTTGACACGTTTCACCTAAAGTACAGTTTCGCATATTTGATGGCGAAAATTTTCTTTTCATATATTTTTAAATTAATTTCGTTACCGGACTGGCGAAACAAATAACAAATTCGTCATTTTAGTGGCGAAATTGCACACTCCACTCGCAAAGTTTGAACGCTATATATATACTCCAACCCTTCTCTCATTTTCAACAGAAGGACACATTAGAAGAAAATCTCAAGTATGTGTTATTTAATAATTTTATTATTTAATTTTGAATGTATAATTTTAGTTATATTTAATTAATGAGTATTGTTTATTTTATTTATGTTAATTATTGTAAAGTTTAAATATTAAATAAAGTTTATTTGAATAAAATGCAAGATGAGTGGGATTGTTATTATTATATATTGGAATGGTAGAATCTATGAAGAAAATGAAGGAGTAAGTTTTGAAAGAAGTAAAAAAGTAATTCAAATAAAACGAGGAATAAGTTATGAAACATTGAAAAGAAAAATTCATGTGAAACTCAATCTTAATCATAATCAAGTGATTTCTAGATTAATTTCTCGTTTTTTGATTGATGAAAATATTAGACAGTATACAGCTTTGGATATATGTGATGATGAAAATATTGATTGCACGATAAGTGCATTTCAACAACAATCTAGTAGAAATATTATTGAGTTATACGTAGATATTGCTGTTGGTGGAAGTTCATCAATGTCCTTACAGATGATGAATTTAAATTTATCACTTTCACAACAAAATGATAGGACCCTTGTGAGTCATGATTATAATGAAGGTAAAATTATTTTCGTTCTAATGTCTTTTAAGTAATATATGTAATTGATTGAATTAAAACTGATAAATTTTTTGCAATAAAGGAGTTAGGAATGATGCTGATGAAGATAATGAACACTCAGATTATGAGAGTTACACTGATGGAGATGATGAAGCAGAAATTTCGTTAGGCAGTTCTTCTTCTACTGATGTTGAAGACGAGTTTAATTCCAACTTACATATACAAGTAACCAAAAATGTAGGAAGTAATGTGAAATAATTATAAAGAATTTGTTTTTTGTGGTTATTTATTTATATATTAATGATAAATATAATGCAGAAGATACTGTAATTCCTTTTTGGAATGTTACTCCAAAGTATAAGTATATTAATTGGGAATATCTTGATCAAGAAATGAATGAAGAACATCTTCAAGAAGTCAATTCATGGGTTGAAGGAGATCCTTTATTTGTTGGCTTATATTTTGACAGTAAAGAAGATGTGAAGAATGTATTAAAACATTACGTAATGAAGATTCATCAAAGTTATTTTGTAGCTGAGTTTAAACCAACATGTTTGTACGTTAAATGCTTAAATCATACCTCTAGTTGTCCATGGAGAGTGAGGGCTTCATTGTTGAAGAATTCAAACAAGTGAAAAATTACTAGGTGGGTTGGTTCACATACATGTGTCAATATGAGAATTTCTCAAGATCATCAAAAGTTAGATTTTGATTTAATTTGTTCATGCATTCTTGGTAAGTAAAATATCAAGTTTTTTATTTTATTTTTACAATGACATTGTTATTAACTTGAGAAAATTTATTTTATGTAGGAATGGTGAACGAGGAACCGTCGGTACATATTTCATTGATACAAGAGCGAATATGTGCTCAGTTTGGATATAAAATTTCATATAAAAAAGCTTGGAAGGCGAAGCAAAAAGCCATTGTTAAAGTATTTGGTGATTGGGATGAATCATATGCTACCTTGCCTCGTTGGTTAGAATACATGCAATTAAATTCTCCTGAATCTGTTTATAAACTTGAAACAAAAGAGTGTGTGATTGGTCATCAAGTGAATAATAGGTATAGAGTATTTGAACGACTATTTTGGTCATTCGAACAATGTCATGAAGCTTTTAAATTCTGCAAACCTATATTACAAGTGGATGGGACGTTCTTATATGGTAAGTATCGTCATACGTTGCTCATTGCAACAACTCAAGATGGAAACAATTGTGTTCTTCCAGTAGCTTTTACAATTGTTGAAAGAGAAACACTGTCAGCATGAGAATAATTTTTGGCATTGATTCGTTTGCATGTTACCGATAGAGTAGGAATTTGTTTGATATCAGATAGACATCAAAGTATAAAAGGAGCTGTGTCAAATCCACACATTGGGTGGCAACCTCCAAATGCGTATCATGTATATTGCATTGGTCATATTGCCAGCAACTTTAATAGAGTTATGAGAGCAGTTCAAAAGGAACTGCTCTCTAAAATAGACTTATGAGAGCGATTCCAAATTAACCGCTCTAAGAAGTCATATTTGGTACAAAAAATTTAAAAATTAATTACTTTCGCCAGCCGTTTGGCGAAAATTTGATCCACGTGGCAAAAACACCCCAGATTGCAAAATTGTTTCAGATTTGCTATAAAATAATAAATTATTTTTTAATTTACAATATTATAATAAATTTGCCGATTTTTAAACTCCATACTTTCATTTTTTTTAAATATCATATTTTAATATATACATTTTTCAAATCCCATATATAAAAATTAAACCTACATTTTATGAGTTTTTTATAATTATTTTATTTTATTTAAAATCAATAAAAAATTATATTTTAAAATATAAATAAATATTTTTATAAATTTTTATCAGTTTAAAAAGAAATTAGTTTCCATGCATAAAATTTATGATGATAAAATATATTTTTTCACTTTAGTTATTGATTAATAGATAAAAATAAATAAATATATATATGTATTTAAAAATATTAGATTAAAAGAAAAACATAAGTTAAGCCTAAGTAAATAAAATGTATATTATTTTATTATTGTTATAATTTTTCAAAACAAAGTATACTTAAATATAAATACAATAAAAATTATATGATATGAGTGTAAATAAAAACATTAATTTTTTATTATTATGAAAAATAAATTAATTTACAAAATCATCATACATATAAATTTATAATATCTATTCTTGATTTTAAATTTAATTGTTGATCAATATATAAACATAGAAATTAATAATTAAAAGAAAAGCGAAAGTGAAATTAAATAACATCGCATTTATTAATTTAAAAATTTTAAAATAACATGTTTTATATAATTTAACGTTCTACTAAACAACCTTTAATTTTTTCCTATGCATTTATTTATATTTTTTAACTAAATTTAATATGGTATATTACTCATTTATGATTATAATTTAGAATTATTAATAAATTTTTAACTATATAATAATTAAATAATATTTTAAAAAAGATAACTCATTAGATTAATAATAATAAAAATAAATAAAAGTGAAAGGATAACAACTAAGTTAAGATGAGTAACTTATAAAATGTTTGACATAAAAGGAGAAAAATTATCTATACTACATACATTTTCACATATTTGTTAGAATTAGACACATACTACATTTTTTATAATTAACTTGAATAAATAAATTCTAAAATATGATAATATAAATCTTAAAATTTCTTTACAATAGTAGATATAAATATTGTAACTTTAACTCCTAAAACATTAAATATATGTTTTTATTCATTCTTCAAACAATGTAATATAATCATCTCATATTGTTAATTTGACTTTATTTACACTGCAAACAATTTAAACAAAATTAAAATATTTTCTTATCAATAATCATATTTACTAACATTAAAATTGTTATTTTTATCTTATGTCTTATTATTAAAGTATCATAATATTAATCTTGCCTTTTATATTTATTTTTTCTTCATTTGAACTTATGTTAAGATATTGTTTCTACAACGATTTTCTAATTCTTTAAAATTTAACAAACTCAAATATATAATAAAGAATTTTATTTTTTTTTGTTTCTTAATAATTATATCATGAAAATTGCAACATAACAAAACTCTTTTTTTAATGTTCGATGAATGATAATTCTGGGCTAAATAAAAAGATTACTATTTTTTAACTACAACAAATTTGTTTTTATTTTTTGACACCAAAAAATATTTAACAATCCCAGTCAACTACTTTAATATTTGAAATGAGAATAAAAAAAAGATTGACATATATATATATAGTAAAGTATTAAATATATAGTAAAGAATTAAGTTATTATCATAATTTATTCCTTTCGTAACAATTGTAGCATAGGAATTGCAACGTTAAAAAGTCTATTTTTTTGTAATGTCTAATGATTGATATTTTAGGTCTTAAAAAAAAAGATGACTAATTTTTAACTACAACAAATGTGCTTATTTATGCTCCACCTTTGCTGCTCCTCATGTTGAAGGTACATTCAATGTTTAAAGTTAGAGTATGTTGCATTATTTGTTCTTGCATATTGCAGGCTATGGATATTGGCGTTATCTGGCGTCGCACTGGCTCAGGTCCCTTACCTTTCAGCTTCCTTCGTATAATTGTGATGCTCGACCCGGTGAGTTATTTTTTAATAATAAAAAAATAAATATAGTCAGTGGATATAAATAAAAATAAACAAAGGAGACAACAGCTGCCCAAAAGCCTCAAAACTCACTCAATGACTGCCTGTTCTCTCACCTACATTTTGTGCCCTTGTATCTTTGCTTTTAACAGTTTCTCCTTCCTTCCTACTCCCCTTGCAACATAGGCAAGGTTGTTACAACCCAAATCCCTTCCTGTCCTTTACTCATATTTTCCACGTGGTCTAGAATGTATGAGTGCCTAACAAATAACAATTTTCAATTTTATTTACAACATCTAAGTAATCAAGATTTATTAGATTGAAGTCGAAAAAAAAAAAAAACTGAATTTGGCTAAGCAATATTAAATTTCTTTGTCATAAACATTCAAGACAAAATTTAAGTGTTAACAACAGTTTGTAAACCAGTACTAAGAGATTCTCAACGATAGAAAATCAATTATCTTGTTTAATGCTCTGCTTCTGTCAGAACAATATAAGGTTTAATCAGGTGTAAGAAATTATGCATACAGAAGTGTGCCACTCCTGTGCATTGTGTTCAGATAACCAACAAAAGAAATTATCAACTATGGTATAGAAAGAAGAGTAAACAGCAAAATATATGATCTCATCATAATCATATAGCATATACGCTTACAAAAGAGCTATCAATTTACAATTCACCTGAGCAGTATGCTTTTTCCCAGCTAGATGTTTGTTATATATGTCTTGACTAGTGCACACAATGTTGCACACTCTGCAAACCTTGGCAGAATCAGTGGTTGAACCACCATTCAAAAGCTTTCATTCCTTAGACTTTTCCCCTTGCCTGCAGCACCAACAGACACTTTTCCTTGGTACTATTTGTGTGACTTGGTACACTTGCATGAGAGGTCCTGCTAATAATGAATTTGGGGGATTAGCCTGCACCTGCAAATTCCTTTTGTGTTTCTTTCCCAATATGTTTTTCATAAACATCTTTGCTATTACAATCAATTTTGCAGACTTCACATCTAATTGGTTTGGTGACTCTGGTTGGTTAGGCAACTACTGTAGTGTGCTAATAGCATGGTTACATCGTCATGATCAGCATAAGAGTATATTTGAAGTTACTTGGAGTAAGGAAGTAGGTAACCAGAACTTTGTTGCTGGGTTACAGATGAAGATTTGGAATCATGACATGATGCTTCTTGTGTAACAAAGAAGAATCAAGCCATTATTGGAATCTAAGACTTGCTGAATTTGACAAGAATATCATTACCTCAGTAGGCACACCACAGGATGGTTGCTATCCAGGTGATAGGGTACAAGCTAACATCTTCATTGGACTTTTGCAGCTGAAGCAAGAAGCACGTAGCACCCTTTTCCAACAAGTCCCGAGTGTGTTGCATCACAAAATAGGGTTCCTTTGGAAGGTTGGAGAATAACTTGGCAACAAATTTGAACCTATAAATCGCTTTTACTGGTAGTGGTAAACAAGAAAAGACCTCAAATATTTCGTTTAGAGACATGGCCATAGCTAGGGAACAATATTCAACAACCATGGATGGTGAACAGGTCAGAAAAATGTTTAACTACAGAGGTTTTCTAATATAACAATACAGATAATTTGATACAATTACTGAACGCAAATCACACACAATACAGCAATATGCTTGCTGTCCCAGCCCTCTTAATTGCACCTCTTATCTACCTAACCCGGACTCAAATCTCTCTACTCCTTCCGTACACCAAACAAAATCCAAACCCAAATATTAATTGAAACAGTACACTCAAAAAACTTATTTCATGCTAAAAACTTATTCACGTGTCAATCTCAAGTCATTACAGCTAAAATACAACAGCCACATAAAATAAGTAAACCAACCAATAAAACAAGCCCTCTTAACTCAAACTCAAAGTGAGTTCATATTTATTATATAAAGACCATTATTACAAACCAAAGACTCGGCACTCTCTGCAGCAGAGCCTTTAACACAAAACATGGAGTGGACAATAGGATTGTATCTTCTCTGTTTTCTCCTCACATAGTTAGCTACATGTCATATATAAACAACAATTAAAAACATTTCAACTGCATGCCAAAAATTAAACCCTGCTTAAAATGAAACTCAGCTCTTAACTAGATGCAAACAAAGAAAGTACCACATCACTGTCCCAAATAAGTATCCCAGCAAATTTTGAACAAAGTACCACATCACAGTCCCACATAAAAGTATCAGAATACATGCATTAAATATTAATTAACAGTGCCCAAAGAAAATATTGTAGAATAATTATCCCAAAACTTGAATTAACTACATAATCACAAAACAGGGCATCTCCAAAATACCTCTCATCTCTGCCAGGATGGAAAGGAATTTCAGGTCCAATAGTGATCTTAATGGCAACGATGCCAGCCAACTGTGTTACAGCAAGATAACATTAACCAAACAATCATTAACTAACAGAGAAAAACAACTTTTCAGGTCTAATAAAACAAAATTCTAAGAAGAAACCCTCACCTGACAGAAATTCATAGAAATGATTGAAGCATCCAACAACAAACATATTACTCATCAAAGATATAAGACAACTCATTTCTTTGGAGAATATATTAATGCTAGCTAACACTAATTTTTTATGCAGATTACATATTTGAATTTTATCAAACTCGAATGGGAGGTCTTCGTATGAGATGATAAAACACAAATTTTATTATACAGGAGTCAACCATGAATTGCATTACAATTATCAACATACCAATTTTTTCAATATACAAAACTTGATAGAATCACCAAAATATGCTCCCACTTTACCATACAGTGCGGGAAGACTGAGACATTGAACACCACTGAATGTCAATTATCAGCATAATTCAATTGAATTATGAAAGAAATTTTGGCAAGCAACTGAATCAGTAGATGCTGAAGATGAAACAGGGATGGATTGGTGTAAAATATAAGTAACAATCTGATCACTTTCTATGGGGAAAGAGCCTGAAAAGTTTAGCATCCCCTTTATGCCAAAAGAAGTGGGCTTACAATGGCATTGTATGTCTCCTGGTCAGGGACTACACCCTTTAGAATCATGTAGTCATGTAATGCAATCACTTCCTCAGGATTAAAATTCCTGTTGAAATGGGTAACAAGAGTAGTGTATGTTATACAATCTGGACGAATACCCCGCATAATCATCATTTTCATCAGTTCTTTCGCATCTTCATGACACCCATACTTGCAGAGAAGGTTTATCAATGTATTATATGTGACTCTGTTTGCACAAATGCCCAAGTTTTTCATTTCCAATGTCACACTAAATGCTTGATCAAGTTGTCCGCTGATGCAATATCCACTGATCAAGGTGTTAAAGGTTATGACATCAAATAATTTTATCTTTTGTAACTCATCTACTAGAAGTTTTGCAACATCTGTTGAGGCCATTTTACATAGACCATTAATGACAGAATTGTATATTACTAGGTTTGGCTTGTCATCCATCTTTATCATCCCATCATAAACTCGAAGAGCATTTTCTGTGTTATCTACCTTGAAGTATCCATCAATCATAGTTCCATATGTATAAACATCAGGAACTAAACCACGTGTAATCATGTTCCCCAATAGTTTCTTAGCTAAAGCCAAATTTTTGGTTTTGCATATATAGTTGAGGAGTATGTTGAGAGAAAAAGCATCCTTTATCAAGTTAGCTTTTAAAATCTTGCTATGAAGCTTAAGAGCTTCAATCAGATATCCATTTCTGCAAAGCCCTTGGGTGAGGATTGCATAGGAGTACTGATCAGGGTTTATACGCTTATCAATCATGTCCGATAACACCAGAGACACTTCCTCCATTCCTCCTTTACGATAAAGCCAATACAAAATCGAATTATAAACAACAACATTAAGAAACAACCCTCTTTCCATCATTTCATCACACAGCCTTAGCGCCTCCTCCAAACTCCCCCACCTAGCATACCCATCTATTAATGTAGCATAGGTCCTAACACACGGCTGCAATCCTGCCTCCACCATTTCATGAACCATTCCTTCTGCAAGCACTAGTTTCCCTTTCTTACAAAACCCATTGATGATACAGTTGTAAGTAACAGAATTAGGCCAAACATAATCCCCAGTCATCACATTCATCTTCCTAACAACCTTTAGCGCGAGATCCAATTCCCCAATCTTGCATGCCCCATCCACGATCATATTGAACGAAACAACATTCGCAAAAACCCCACCCTTCAACATCCTATAAACCACCGAAACAGCCTCAACCAACCTGCATTCCTTACAAAGCGCATACACAACCAAATTAAAAGTATTCACATTCTCCACATAACCAAAAGAGCCCATTCCCTTATACAACTTCCAAAACCTATCAATTTCATTTAACTCCAAAACATGACTGAGGAAGTTATTCCAAGCATGAATTGAAACCCTAAACCCTCGATTTCTGACTTCAAAGATCACATCATAGGCACCTTCAGTGTCCCCAACCTGAACAGAAGCCCTAACCAACGCATCGAAAACTGCAATGCTGGAACCACACCTTTCGTAACTCTCAAGCAACGCTCTCAACACTACCAAAGGAGGAGTAGCCTCTTGGCTAATCAAGTTTCTCATAAAAAACAAAGCATCACCGAATCTTCTCGATTTCACTAACACGTGAACTAAGGTGCAACAAGAATCTAAGGAGAGTGGGGATAGTGATATCTCTTGGACCCAGTTGTAAAAGTCTAAGGCCAATTGTGGCGAGTTCTGGAACTCGCAAACGACACGGTTCACTATGGAATTGGTGAGCTTGGGGAAGAGGGGTTTCAACGACGCCCATCGCTTGCGTTTTAGATTAGCACAAATGGCTCTAAAAACGACGTCGTCGGTATTCTGGTTTGCGAAACGCTTACCAACGTGGAAGGCTCTCTTCGCGAAGAGGGTTAGGAGCATGGACCGTTCAGAAGAGTTAGCTGCGAGTGGTGATGTTGGTGGCGGCTACCACTGTTGAGAAGAATCCATTGTCGAGCTTTCAATTTGAATGTTCATGGCGGCGAATTTCCACCATTTTCCATTTTTGGGTTTTCTATTTTTATAATATATTCTTGTAGAAAAATATCTTTCTATTTATATTTTATATCGCAGTTTCAGGAATTTGTGCCTCATGAAAAGAACTACCAGGTTATATTTATTTATTTTTATTTATATCTATTTATTTATCTGTATTTATACTTGCATTTTATTTACACTCATAAAAAATCTCTATATCTATCTATTTTTTTATCAACTTATCTATATCAATATTTATATTTATTCTTCTATATTTATATACATAATATAAATTTATAAATTAAAAATGTATTGATGTATCAAGCTTTTATGAAATTATTTTATTAATTTTTTTTACTTTCATTCTTAATTTATTAATTTTAAATTTCAATTTAATATCATGTTTAAATTATTATTTTATAAAATTATTATTTATAATAATTGTATCCAAATAAAAATATCAGTAATGAGAAATACATCAATAAAAAATACATGTATTTTGTAAGAAAAAAATATTGTCTCTTCCATTTTTTTTCATTTTTAGTATTTTTTTATTTTTTTCTTATTTTAATTTGTTTTCTTCATCTTTTAAATATACTTTTTTTCTTATTATTTATTAAAAGAATTTAACTAAGCAATCAATAGAAGATTTAATCTATCTACATGTTTAAAATATTTACACAACTAAAATAATGTAACATGAGACTTTGGAATATTTTATTTTATTTTTAAAAATAAAAAATTATTTTTAAAATACAAATCAAACATGTTCTAAATATTATGTAATTTAATCTTTAAAATTTTAAAAATATCATATTAGTTTATGACTTTTACTTTTTATTAATTTAGTTCTTTGAATCATACTTTATTGACACATAGTAAAAAGACGTTGAAGTGATATATATGGTTATTATATGAAAGAAAAAAATATCATATTATATATAGTATAATATTTATATTTATAAGATATTTTAATCTCTAGTTATTAAGAGTATGTTTGATTTTTCTTTTAAAAATAGTTTTTATTTTATAAATATAGTATAAATTTATATTATATTAAAAAATTAAAAAGATTTGAGATATGTTTAATTTTTCTTTTAAAAATAGTTTTTATTTTATAAATATAGTATAAATTTATATTATATTAAAAAAATAAAAAATTATTTTTAAAAGAAAAATCAAACATATCTCGAATCTTTTTATTTGTCTGTTTTATTCATATTTTTTCTTTTCTCATACTAAAAATTACCATTACTAATCATTATTTTTATAACTTTTCAAACAGATTATCATTTTTCTAGCCAATCAATCATTTTGTCTTAAACTCTTTTTTTCTATTATTGTTTTAATTATTCACTTTTGTCTTTTTTTTCTTGTCACCTTTTTTCATTTTTCTCTATTCATGCTCATCATAACTATTAACCACTCAATTTTAGTCACTTACAAAAAAAAATTTGAAAACTACATTGCTAACTTATATATTTATACCTTAGATGATTGTGTCAAGTTCACGTCGACCTGAACACCATCCATCCTAGAAACTTAAGTTTCATAAAATGTGATACTTGCAACTATCATTAGAATTATCATTGTTGGAAGAAACACTTATCTCCTTAATCATTTATTTTTATTGAGTTGGTTTAAACTTATATATAAGATAACCAAATCAAACATAAAAAAATAGAATTTTAAATAACTAATTCAATGTAAAAAATAAGTAAAAACTTTTAACTTTGACCATGTGTGAGATAACGACGTAAAAATACTTATCAAATTGTATGAAAAAACATTTATTTCGTGCAAAAATATTCAAATTGATCTTTATTTTTTTTATATGATTGTTGCGTATATAAAAGGTCATGTTGTACATTTAAAAAACTTAAAATTTAAATTGCACACAATTAAAAGTTCACGAGATAAAATACATTTTCTCTCTTTTTAAATTAATGTATCTCTATCCAATGAATTTTGAATGTTTTAATAATATAAATATTTAAATTGCACACAATTAAAAGTTCATGAGATAAAATACATTTTTTCTCTTTTTAAATAAATATATTTCTATTCAATGAATTTTGGATGCTTTTTTCACAATTTGATAAGTGTAAAGTATTGCACTGTACATTTTAAAAATTTAGAGTTTAGATTACATATGACTAAAGGAATGAGTAATATAGTATTTTTTTTCTTATATTTAATGACAAACTTCTTTCTTTCATTTTTTAAGTATAAAGACATAGGCTACAAACTTTGTACATATTTTTTGTTTTGTGTTAATTTTTTACATAATCATGTTAATTTTATTGCAACATTATTTTATAAACAAAATTATGTTTATTTACCTTTAAATAAAATTAATTTTATATTTAAGTTCATATTTTAATTAACATAATAAATTTATAAATTTGTACTGAAATTTATTATAAAATTAATTTTAGGGGTTAAAAATAATTAAACATAAATAACACAATTTTATAAAATTTTAAAACGTAAATTTAGTTTAAAATAAATTTATTTTATAAATTTAAGCTTATTTTACTTCAAATTTACAAACATAAAAAGCTTCAACTTAAGACCAAACTCTCCCCAAAAAGTTACTGTAAAATGTCATTGTTTACCTCATATAATTAATTTTGTTTAACTTTAACACCTTTTATATATAATAAATAAAAAGTAATTTTTATGACATCTTAGACGATTAAAAAGACATTTTATGTCCTTTAGATGTAAAATAATTATTACTTTTAATATCACGTTGAATATGTACCATAAATTAAGATAGTTATTGATGATTGATATTAAAAAAATAGAAATAAACTTTTAAGATAATAAAATAATTATGGACATAAATATAATTTTCTTAACTATTAACAAACTGAATAAAATTGCAACTTAAAAAAATAAAATTATACATTTAAATTTTATATTTGTTAACTTTGAACTAATAACATATTTAGAGAATAAAATCTAACTTACAATTATTGATAAAAAATTACAATTAAAAATTATATTACATAATTTTATTGTGTAAATTCGTATTTTATATAACTTTAATGGTTAATTTTTAACCAAAAGTTATTACGTATAATCTTTTAAAAAAGGAAGAAAACTTTAAAATTTGAATTAAAGGGAAAATGAAAAGAATTATTTAATTTTTTCGATTAAATAAAAATAGATTCTTACGTATATTTTCTTTAGTCTCTTTTGAGATTAAAAAAAAAGAGTATATTGTTTTTACTAAAAATATAAATGACAGATCCAAACAAGACCCAATGATGGAAGAAATATGGGCCAGGCCCATGATGCAGCTCACTTACATATTAGGTTTTATCATGACCTCCCTCATAGTGGTGGCCGCAGCATCTCCTTCCGTTTCTTCAGCTTCGTGTGAGGGGGAGCAGTAGCTTGGTTCGCTAACCAGAATGGTTCGTATGCTCTTCTATCTTCGTTATGTGTTTGATCTTCGTCCTTTACATTCTACTCGAATTAAATCTTCAATTTTCATGAAATGGCGCGTTCTAATCTACCTAATTTTGAACTCTTTTCGGTGCTTTGCCATCCATGTAATATTATTCATTTTTATGTTAGATTGGATGTTTCAACCCCTTTTTTTTTATTTGCGTGTGAGACTTAAACTTTGTTGCGTATGACTGTGACAGGCCAGGGGATTGAAGAAGCATTTGAAGAGGCTCAATGCCCCAAAGCATTGGATGCTTGACAAATTGGGTGGTGCATTTGTAAGTGAAAGATTCATAATCTTTTGACCAGATTTCAAGGGTTTTTTTTTTCAAAACTGATATGAATTATTTTCATCCTGTATAGGCGCCAAAGCCCTCATCTGGACCACACAAATCTAGGGAGTGCCTCCCACTCATACTCATTCTGCGAAACCGGCTGAAGTATGCCCTGACATACCGTGAAGTCATTGCTATTCTGATGCAGCGACATGTCCTTGTTGATGGCAAAGTTAGGACTGACAAGACTTATCCTACTGGTTTCATGGGTATGTATGTAGCCTGTTAATTTTTAGAATAATTGTTCACATCATGTTATTAAGTCTATATAATAATAGGGTGATGTAGTTGGTGCATGAAGCTCTCACTTAGTGCCACGGTATATTTACCCAGCCGTGTCCCTGCAAACTTGTTATATAACTTGATGATTTGTGATTAATTAAGCAAACCCTCTTGAATATTGGTTGCTGTGTTGTGAAATCTGGGTTGTTGAGGAGTTGTTTAGATATTAACTGATTCCCTGGGATTCTTGTTCTGTTCCCTGCCCGCTTTGAGAGTCTTTGTTATGAATGTTGATATAATTCTAATGATGTGGCTGGTGGCATGATTTTTCTTTTTTATTTATATCTCTTTACAGATGTTGTATCAATCCCTAAAACAAATGAGAACTTCCGCCTGCTTTATGACACTAAAGGCCGATTCCGTCTCCACTCAGTGAGGGATGACGAGGCAAAGGTACCTTTTCCATCTGCCTAACCTCTTGGTGCAATTACACTCTTCTCATTGTATGATGAGTATGAATTCATTGTTTCAAGTTATTATAGCAAACAAACTGGTGCTGATGCTAGTAAACTTCTTAAATATCAATTTCCAGATTTTTGTGTAGTTAATTGTTTGATTATTGAGTTTCAATAGTGTAAATTGTTGATTTTTTCCCACTTAATGATTATGGTTTTATGGGTTTTCCTTGTATGTTGGTTGTGTGTATGGCAGTTCAAGCTCTGCAAGGTTCGATCAGTGCAGTTTGGGCAAAAAGGTATCCCCTACCTGAACACCTATGATGGTCGCACAATCCGCTACCCAGACCCCCTCATCAGGACCAACGACACCATTAAGCTGGATCTAGAGGAAAACAAGATCGTTGATTTCATCAAGTTCGATGTTGGGAATGTAGTTATGGTGACAGGTGGAAGGAACAGGGGGCGTGTTGGAGTGATCAAGAACAGGGAGAAGCACAAGGGAAGCTTTGAGACAATCCATGTTCAGGATGCTACTGGACATGAATTTGCAACTCGTATGGGCAATGTGTTCA